GCTCTCTCTCTCTCTCTCCTGTATACACCTCTGTCTCTCTCTCTCATGCTCTCTCTCTCTCTCTCACGCTCTCTCTTACTCTCACCCCCTCTCTCTCTCTCTCAGGAAGACGTCCTCCGTGCATCTGATTTTTCATAGCCATAAATTTTCGCTATTATGGAAAATGGTTTAATTTAATTACATTTCACCTTGGTACTGTACAAGCAGCCTGGAGTCTCATTCACCACTGGTGGTGGCAGAGAGAGGCACAGTTATGCTTAGTAATTAAAATACTGTGCTGTAAGCATAGTATTTTAATGTATTACAGGAAAAAAATGCCTACTCTTTTTTTTTTTTAATTTGTAGGAATTGATGAAAATATTTATAATAGAGCTTGTTTGAACACAACAGATCTCACGGGTTTGCTGTGTACATGTCAGGGGTCTCACTTAGTGATATTATTTATATATTCGAACAAACAAATGACATACATTCTGCTTAAAGGGGCTGTAGACTTTCCTCGGTTAGTGGGTAACCAGTTTACTTGAAGAGTCCCATAGCAAGTGAGGGTCTTCCTCAGATTGCTGATTGGTGGGGAAATATGTTTCTGTGTGAAATGTAATGTGAGGTTGCAATAAATGTAACTGTTGAAAATAAGTATTAATATAAAAACAAATGCTAATAAATATCAACACATAAATGTTTATTGGCTCCGCATTTCTGTCAATTTCAGTTCTGTCATTGCTTATTCTTGTTTTTTAGTAAGAACTAGTTGAATAAAATGTAATTTTAGAAACGTTTTTAACATTTATTACATGTGAAGAGCGTACAGGAAAGAAGTCCAATCGGGGCAAAGTGATCAGTAAACTCGCACAGTATCAGGACTTGTATGGACTGTAGACATTGCTGCAGTCGCTGTTATAAATCAGCAGCTGTGTAGATTTGAACGGAGCCTTTAGAAGCATCCATCATTAAAAAGGAATGTTGTTTTTTTCAGTGTTCCGCTGATCCAGAGCTTTGCAGGGACAAAATGAGAGGTGACGCGGCCCTTTTCGGGCTGGATATAGAGATGGGGCATACGTTCTGATGTATCCAGGAGAGAAAGTAGTGGGAAATCTGGAATTTTACGGTTGTCACCAGAACAGGAATAAGGAGGAAATCTTCTAAGCTGGACACTTCTAGAGGGGATTTTGCTTCCTCTCACTTCCTGTTGCGTCTACAGGACAGGAAGTCAAGGGAAATCTCCCTGATGGGTTACAGGGGTTTTAACGCTACCCTACTCCATCTAAATGAATAAAAGCTTTTGGCTTTAGATATATATGTTTGCAATTGGAGAACAATGTTAAATAAGTAAGCTGATAATGCTGATCAGGAAACAATGCAACTGTGGTAAAGTCAATCATACTTTTCAAGCAGTCGTGCAAGATATGTCAAGCTTTTCATGGCAATTTTGAGTGGGATCGAAACCTCCTCTTACATGATTTCTGTGCCTCTGGGAACTAAATAGATACCTGGAACCAGGGCACACGTGGTATGCTTTTAACAGGCTCAAAATTTGGGGAAAGGGAAAATAAGGCCTTGAGGATTTAGCAAGTGAAGTAAGGAGCTGTACAAGATGAATGCCAGGATGAGAGTATGGACTCCTCTTATTAGTCCTCTGAGTCAATTAAATGCCGTATATTCATAAGTAAATGGTGTGCACCTTCCAACACCAGTGATAGGTGGGATGTCCCTGTAAAAGGGCAAAAATAACAAAATCATTGTCCTAATTGCATCTAATGATCACACGAGAAAATGTATACAGTTGGAGTAATTGCAGAATGTTCTATATTATTATAACTGTGCATGCTTCCTTAAGATCATAAGTAACAGTGCTGAACAGCCAATCACCAAGTGGCAGCATGGCCACATGGAAGGAGTCCTAGCTGCTGCTCCATTGCTGGAAGTACCAGGTATTTTCTCTTCATTCCCAGCAACCGAATCGGGAAAGGAAGGCCTGGTCAAAGCACAGACACACTTTAAACCAACACGTTTCAAGATCTGGTCACTCTCCTCATTGGGGATGGTCCATTGGAGCGGTTTATTAGTCCCAGATGGAGGAATAGGTAGGAGATGGTACAATGCAGGACCTGCTGGAAGGATTCTAATAAACCTTATATGAGCAAAGCTGCTTGTAATCAAAAGACCATTGGCCAGTCCAATTGCTCTGACTGACAGTTTTTCTGATTACAAACAGCTTCGCCCATATAAATTTTATTACAATGTTTCCAGCAGACTGTGCATTGCACACCTACATAATTCTCCATCTGGGACAAATAGTCCATTCCAATTGACCAGCCCTGATGATGAGGGTTCACGACCCTTGAAAAGTGTTTGCTTAAGATCTTTGTTCAATAAAGTTTTTTCACTTTATTTCATTAGCTATCAGCATCTTGGCTTTTTTCTGCTCAGGCGTCTTCTTCTTCAAGTGTATGTTTAGCCAAAACTTTTTTTTTTCTAGTTTTGTATAAATTAGGGAACCCTTTAAGGTTTCTATTGCTATCTATGTTATGTTCTCTGTCCTGCTGACCGTCATTACCTGCAGAAAAAGTGATAAGAAATCCAAAAATGTACCTCACCAGAACATAAGGCGAATGGGAAACCTTCCAATGGTGACAGCTAAGAGAGGATTTCCTATCACTTTGTAAAGAAAATAAATGCAAAACATTTTTTATTCTATCCAAGACTAAAAACACTTTTTGTTAGAGCTTCAGCACAGCCTCTCTTATGGGAGGCATACCCATTGTTTTATCCAGTCCTGTGGCTTATTGACACCCAGTATTATTCACCCCACTTCCTGTGAGAGGCTGCCATGGAACCCCCTTTCCCCCCTCCAGGGTGTCATCATCGCCACTGCTGGACAAGAAGAGGAAGGATGGGCAAGAAGTCTGCTGGATGTAAAGCCCATACAAAGGTCCCCCAGCTGAGTCCTCCACAGTACTTCTTTTCTGCCACCAGATGTTCTCAGTCTTCCAGGTTGAATGACACCCTGCATCCTTTAACCTGGAAAACTGAGGACCGTACTCTGAATGCAGGGCGTCATGGGCCTGCCCTCTGAGAGAGCATCACCACCACCCCCTTCATTCAATCACAGTGTATTGATGCAGAGAGTGGGGCTGATATCATTATGATAGTACTGTGCTTTGCACCTAGCTGACCACCCAGCGCCAGGAGAAGACCAAAGAGGACCCAGTTTTATCACATGACCAGTCTAAAGACTATGGAAGAAAAGTTAAAGAAGCACGCTTAACCCTCTGCAGCGGGGCTACGCCCTCACTGCAAGTGTTAAGTGCTTGTTTTTTTTCTAGGTGCTTAAAAAAAGTTATACTAACCCAAACCTCCGAGCCGTTGCCTGCGTCTCCAGCCACTGAAGCCTCTCTCCCAGGGGCGTCCCAAGGCCGGGTGTCACCCAGAGCGGAGAACGCTGGGGCTGCTGTTGTGAGGTATGCCGCAGGATCCCCTCCTCTCTCCTGACACTGTCGGGCACTCGGTCCATGACCGAGTTTCTGACTTTTTAGACATTTTGGTGTCACCCCTCCCATGGTGTCACTTGGCTGCGGATAAATTCTGCCCGGAGTTCTGCTTTAAGTATACAAAAAGCACATGAAATATACTTTTGGTGGGGAGAAAATCTAAAGGGGGGGGTTAATCTGAGGGACGGAGTCTGGAGTTGGGCATTAAGGCATTTGTTTTTGTTTTTTATTGGTGCAGAAAGATGGAGCGTGGAAGGTTATGAAAAGTGGAGATAGGCTTTAAGATGAAAAAGTTCTAGTTTTAAGAGTCCAGCAGTGACCGGTTCTCTTGCAGCTGCTGTACGAGGTGTGGGTGTCCCCGGCTGTACAGATGACAGTGGCAGGCTGCAGTGATGAAGAAGCACACTGGGCGTCTATTAGGAGTGGGAGTGCGTCTGTGCTCTCAGTACTGCAGCCATCCACTTTGATTGATTTCCATTCATGTCAGACTGACTGCAATGTGGTCATTTTTCTCAGGCATAACCGCTCAGTACTGCAGCAGTCTGCTGTCTACGGCTGTCTGAATTATGGCTGTCCGTATCTGTGTGTTACCTTTTACACAAATTACTACACAGCTTCCTTTCTTCATGCAAATTCATCAGTTTTACGGCCTTCTGGGGCTGCTGTTGGGGGGGATGCAAAAATGATTCACGCATTTTCTTTTATGAAGAATGTAATATATATATATATATATATA